AATTATGGCTTCATTCTCATCGAGAGGTCCCAGCATAATTGAGCCCTTAATACTCAAGGTTGGTTAGATATATGTGTTGAGTAATTTTATAGTATAAAGTTTAATGTGTCAATTGCTAATCGTTGCAAAATTTGAAGTATTGCATTTTTCTTTTTAATTTCCAGCCTGATATAACAGCACCAGGTGTGAATATACTAGCGGCTTTCTCTGACGAAGTATCACCAACTGGTTCACCTTTTGATAAACGTCGGGTTCAATATAATGTAATATCAGGCACTTCTATGTCATCTCCCCATATTTCAGGCATCGTTGGCCTACTCAAAACCCTTTATCCAAAATGGAGTCCAGCAGCTCTCAGATCTGCAATCATGACCACAGGTTTGTTATGCAAAATTCTTCAATCATTTTAAAAGTTCCAAGGACTAATTAAACTAGTAATTTCTCAAATGAATGGTAAGATATTTTATTTATGAGATTTTCATTTTGACTTAAATCTCGTAAGCTAATGGTTTTGTTTTGCAGCTGAAACCAAAGCCAATGACTTAAATCCAATACTAAACCCAGAAAAGCAGAAATTAAACCCCTTGGCCTATGGTGCCGGCCATGTCCAACCAAACAAAGCAGCAGATCCTGGCCTTGTTTACGACCTCTCCACCCAAGACTACTTGAACTTCCTATGTGCCCGTGGCTACAATAAAACACTAATGAAACTATTCACTAATGATACTTCATTCGTTTGTTTAAAGTCATTCAAAATAACAGATTTGAACTACCCATCAATCTCAATAAATTATCTGAAATCAGAGGTTGTAGAGGTCAAAAGAAGAGTAACAAATGTGGGAAGTCCTGGTACATATGTTGCCCAAATCGAGGCACCGCAAGGAGTTTCGGTTTCGGTAGACCCAAGTACTTTGAAGTTCACCAAAACTGGTGAAGAGAAGGATTTCAAAGTTGTGTTGAAGAAGGTGTCAAATAATCAAACGGATGGATATGTGTTTGGAAAACTTGTGTGGTCTGACGGGAAGCATAGTGTTAGCAGTCCAATTTTTGTGTCATTAACAAAGGAGTGAAAGAAGCACATGAGTTGAGTTGAGTTGGGTTGAGTTTAGCTTGTTTTAGCTCAATAATTAAAGTTTTATTTTCGTGTACACAGTTAAATGATAATAGAGCATGATTCTGATGACTTTTTATTGGGGGAGAAAATACTAACAAATTTTCTAAACTTTCTAAGTTAAAACGGCTAATAATTCTCTGGATTAAATTACTAACTCTTGTCCAAAACTTATTCCACTAACGATTCTCAATAAACACGGATCATTTTCTTAAACTTGATCAGGTTAATAACTATTTTTATTAAGTCAAACTTATTGACTCATATTATTCCTCGTAAGCTTGATTTTACTCGAGATTTTTCACTTAGAGCATATGAGTTTAACTTTTGTTAGGGCTTTGGTTAAAATATCTGCACGTTGTTCTGTAATTCCAATGTTGCTTGGTCGCTTATCAACTCTGTCTTCGTTCGTATGAAATTTTAATTCTGCACCATGTGATTTCTTTAGATCTATTATGAGTAGTTTTTTTTTTTTTTTTTTAATATATTTATAAATTTTTAAGATGAAACTTATTAAAGTCAAAACTAAAAAAATCTATTAAACTATTTAAAATTTTAAGAACTAATTGATGCTAGACTATTAAACACAACCATTTTAATAAGTTCTTTGAATTGATACATTTTCTAAAATTTAAAAATTATTGAGACCTAATAAAATAAATGCATTATACTCAAAACTAATAAAAATAACTTTATATGTTCCAAAATATAATTTTCAACTTTCAAAAGTTTCATAAACATCTTACGTTTATGCAATAAATTTCGAAACTAATAAAACAACTTTATCGTTTAAAACACCGTCATGATCTTACATGATCCACACATAATAATGAAATGCAAATAAAAATGAAATTGAAATGATTTAAAATTATGAAAGGCAAGACAACCTATTCTAACTTAAGTCTAGGAATTTAAATATGTTTCTATCCTATGCTCGTGCCATGATATCTACTTTCCGATGCCACACGTCAACTGTACATGAACGCCTTGCCTTTACCTGAAAAATGATGTAGCACACCGCCTGAGTATTTCGAGGCATACTCACTAAGCGACCCCAATATAGGGGTCATGAAAAAATGCAACCACATGGAACAATACTCTAGGAACCTATCATTATCTCATCCTAGGGGTGGCCTCCCTTTCGAACTAACTTGGATGTGTAGTACTTCCCTACACACGACCCACACATGCAAGTATGAATTTCCAGGCAGTTCGCACCCCTTCTAGACCCACCATCGTCGAGCCAGCTGTCCGTAACGACGTTTGGAGGTTAGCGGACCCCCGAGTGTCATGCTCTACATGATCACCGTCATCATCGTAATGTGCTCTTCTGCACTCATCATCATAAAAGGGGAAGTATGCCAATACTTATGTACACACAAACATGCATGAGGGCGCTCTATTTTTCGTCTTTAAAACGTCTTCCTGACACAACTTTAGTCTCATCTCTATGTTAATATTAGTAATACATGCGCATTAGTTATTCATCTTAACATCGGTATTCATACTCTGTAGGGTTGTGTCCTAGGCGATTTCTCAACATGATATAACATGGCATTCACAACATACATCGTGCTTAATATGGAAAAAATCGTCATATTAAAGTAGCAACATCATGCATCATAATCATCATACATCGTCATCATAATGCCATCAAATACATAATAGTCATCATACCACGTCATCAAGCATCATCATATAACTCATATACGACATATACGTCATAACTCATACGTTATACGTCATACAGCAAACAAGTCTCTAGCCTATCCTATAGTAAGGTCACTTACTTGGTTGGCCTTAACCAGCGTTCTCCTTAATTCAATAAATGTTCAACTTCTGTCCTCAAAAGTTGCTCAAAACATTGTCGAGGTTCATTTCCTATTAGATCGTTGGTCACCTTTCGTTAGTATTTCACAATTAATAGTAATTCCAATTGACATATGTGAAATGCGACATTAAAACAATCTCGATTACCTTAATTAGAGTAAAAAACAGGTTCGAGAGGGTTGGAACGGTGAGATTTAGGCTAAAATTGGAGTACTTGAGCCGAGTGCTTCTTTTTGCTGTAGGTCGATAGGAGTGGGCCACGTTTCTATTTACCTCTTGGTTTGAGGCACAAGTTGAGGCGCGGGTCACAGGTCACGGCCTGCAACCACAAGTTGCAAGCTAGGTTGCAATTTGGACCTCGGGTTCTTGCTGCAGGCGCAACTACTACATATGGACTAGGCCGAGGCTTTCGGTCATGGGTCACGTCCATTGGAGACGACGCATTAATTTTATTATTTAAAAAGTATCCATAAACTTTCAAAATTTTCAATAATACTCCAATCTAAAAAAATTTCTTAAAAAAAAGCTTACGGTTTGTTTTGAATGAAACTATTAATACTGTATTTCAAAAATATGATTAACTTTGGAGACAATTTTAAAAATAACTTTCAAAATGTTTTCAAAGCTTTTATTAATATCGGGTAAACTTTATTAAGAAATTGAAAAATACCCTAAGCATTTTAAAAATAATAGTAAACTTAAAGAACCGATTATTTAGCCTCTCGAAATTTGATTGATTTATTCATTCCTTCTCTTAAAAATTTTGAACAATAGACGTCCGTGTATTTAACGGTAATGATTTTTTTTATTTATTTATAAAAGTAACCAGTGTTAATATTACTTTTAAAATTTTATAGATATTTTTTTAAACGAACTTTTTAAAAAGTTCAACAGGTATGTATTTTTTAAACGGTAATAAAAGTTATATTTTTAAATAAATTATAAACCAGAGAATTATTAGATTTTTTTAAATTTAAGAATAATTTTCAAACTTTTATGGATATTTTTTTATTAATTTATATTTTCCGTCAAAAGTCTAGATTTTTTTTTTTCATCTCATTAAAAACAGTAACTTCCATGTTTTAAGCAAAATAAATAAATAATAATAAATGGAAATAAATACTTCCTAAAATACACATAACAGTTGAGAAATTAAAATGGGGAAGATTAATGGGAAGGGCAAAAGAGGAAAAGAATCCATTTTCCTTGAATTAATTTGTGGTTAAATATATCATTAATTCAATGTCACCGTTTAAATTAGGGTAATTATAAATTACATAAACTTATTAACTTTCCTTTATAAATACACAATCCCTTTTTTTTTTTTTTTTCCATTTTTGTTTCATATAAAAAATAAACAAAATATAGCCGGTTAGGATAAGAGTAATCATTATAAAATAATAATAATAATTTTCATTTCGAAAAAAAAAAAAAAAACAATAAGGTTAATAGAGGTTATGGACTATACTCGAGGTATTCAAATGACTCGAGAACCCAACCAATCCAGATTATTTTTTTCAATAAAGGTTAGGTTGAATTTTTGGAAAATAAAAAAATTAGGGTGAGTTTGTAGGTTAACATTTTTTTTTTTGTGTTGGGCCAACGTGACCTGCCCAAAAATAGGGTTGCAACTCAATATTAGTTTTAAGATTATTATGAAAATTAAAATTGTTTGACGATTGAAACTGATGTCATGTCAGTGATGGGTGGTTGTAACTGATGCGTGTAACCGACAATCCAACTCGAAAAGAGAGAGTTGTACTGGGTTCTGAACTCTATTCAAATTGGTTGAGTCGTCACTGAACTAACAAAACTGGTTGATAAAAAGATTTTAATGTTGTTATATGAACATGGCTAAGGATTGCAGCCTTTTAGAGCAATGAATTCTCTTAAATGTTTTTCATTTCATTTCCTTTCCAAGATTGCACCAATTCATTTCAAAACCTTCTTTAAATAAAAAAATGAAGAGTCAAATGAGGCATAGGCCATTTAGGTTTGTTATTATAAAGCTGAAAAGAATGGAGGGAGTTACTCATTCATAAGCTTCAAGCTTAAAGCTATGGAGGGTTTCAATCTATCTTCATTGATTCTTCTCTTCTTTCTTTTCCCTTTGTTTCAAACATCCACCATTGCCACCCAAAAGGCAAGCCAATGATCAACCATTCTTTTGGTTTTTTCTTTCTTCGATCATATATCTCATATGTTCATCTCGTGCAGTCTTACATTGTTTACTTAGGATCACATTCGCACGGCTCGAATCCGTCTTCGGTTGATCTCCGAATCGCAACGGAATCTCATTACAGTTTGCTTGGGTCATTGTTAGGAAGGTGAAGCTTCTAGTTTATGTCATTACATTTTAGTTGCCAATTTGCTTAATCTTCTTACGTTTCCAAGTATAGCAATGAGATAGCCAAGGAAGCAATTTTCTACTCTTACCATAGACATATCAATGGCTTTGCTGCTGTTCTTGACCACAAAGTTGCACAAGATCTAACAAGTAAACCATTTGATCCAATTTTTAATATGAATCGATACTCATTTTGTTACCTAATTGGCTACCTATCATGGTAGGACATCCCGCTGTGGTATCGGTTCATGAGAACAAGATGAGAAAGCTGCACACAACAAGTTCATGGGAATTTCTTGATCTAGAGAATGGCGAAGGAACTCCACCAAATTCCATTTGGAATGGTGCAAATTTTGGTGAATCTACTATCATTGCCAACCTTGACACAGGTTAGTCCTGATTATCACTACAAAAAGTAATGAATAAGATAGCTTATGAAAAATGTTATTATAGATTTTTTTGTAGTATTTTTCGTATGTCGTGACAGCCTATGTTATTAAAATTTTAAGACTTTTTATAGCGTTTTTTTAGAGCTATAATGGATGCTATAATAGAGTATGAAACTATAGCTTATATATGTTGCTATGAAAAGATCCATGTTATTAAAAGTCTGAAATTTTTTATAGCATTTTTTTATAGCTATAATGGATGCTATAATAGAGTATGAAACGCTAGGAAAACATTCATGCTATTAAAAAACAGTGTTTTTTAATAGCTATAATAGATTATGAAACTATAATTTATTTATGTTGCGATAAAAACATTCATGTTATTAAAAGTCTGGAATTTTTTATAGCTTTATTTTATAGCTGTAATCAATGCTACAATAAAGTATGAAACTATAGCTTATATATATGTTGCTAGGAAAACATTTATGTTATTAAATGTCTAGAATTTTCTATAGTATTTTTTTTATAGCGGTCGATGCTATTATAAAGTATGAAACTATAATTTATATATATGTTGCTAGAAAAATATTCCTGTTATAGGATTTTTTATAAAGTTTTTTTTTATAGCTGTAATGGATGCTCTAATAGAGGATTAAAATAAAGCTCATATATGTTGCTATAAAAACATTTTATAGCGTTGTATTAAGTTTCTTACCATTTTAAAATTTCTAAGATTTTTCTTCTCGAATTCGGATTGTATAGGCGTTTGGCCAGAATCAAAGAGTTTCAATGACGAAGGATATGGAGCTATTCCCTCGAGGTGGAGGGGAAGTTGTGAGGGTGGCTCTAATTTTCATTGCAACAGGAAGTTAATTGGAGCACGGTACTTCAATAAAGGTTACACCGCCCTTGCGGGATCCCTTGATGACAGCTTTGACACAGCAAGGGACCATGATGGGCATGGAACACACACTTTATCCACGGCAGGAGGCAATTTTGTTTCGGGAGCTAACGTTTTTGGAAATGGTAATGGCACTGCAAAAGGGGGTTCACCTAAAGCCTTTGTTGCTGCCTATAAAGTATGCTGGCCTACATTTCATGGTGGTCAGTGTTCGGATGCAGACATCCTAGCTGCCATAGAAGCTGCTATTACTGATGGTGTTGACGTTCTTTCACTTTCACTTGGTCGAGGTTCCACGGAGTTTTTCGACGATGTAACGGCGATTGGATCCTTCCATGCAGTTCAACAAGGGATCGTTGTCGTTTGCTCGGGTGGAAACTCAGGACCCGATCCACAGAGCGTAGAAAATGTGGCGCCTTGGCTTTTCACTGTGGCTGCTAGCACAATCACCAGACAATTTACTAGTTATGTGGCCCTTGGAAACAAGAAGCATATCACGGTACTCAATTTAGTCCTCTATTTTCTCGTGTTTTTTTGCCATCTTTAATGATCTTCAAACTATCAACACTAGGGAGCAAGTATTTCAGACAAAATATTGCCAGCTCAGCAATTCTATCCATTGATCACTTCCGTAGATGCGAAAGCTATCAATATCTCTGTTGAAACTGCGTGAGTATAGGTTTAAATATTATTTTGATCCATATACTCTTAATTTGGTTCATTTTCGTCCCGCTGCATTTGAAACGTCCATTTTGGTCCATGTACTTTTAAAATTTGAATAAGAAAGTCCCTTTTAGGTAAGGACATTGATACTAGGCGCACTCTAATGAGGAAATTGTGATGCATCCTTGCAGTAAACTGTGTGTGGAGGGGTCTCTTGATCCGAGAAAGGTGAAAGGGAAGATTATAGTTTGCGTTAAAGGAGGGGATAGTGCAAGAGTGGACAAGGGTTACGTGGCTGCTCAAGCAGGTGCTGTTGGGATGATTCTAGCCAACAGCGAGGAAGATGGGAATGAACTTATAGCCGATGCACACCTACTTCCTGTCTCCCACATAAGCTATATCGATGGCGAAATAGTCTATGAATACATCAACTCCACCAAGTAATTACTTGGTCTACTAAAATTGAATGACTTTTTAAGTGTTTAAAAAAGTGTTTTTAATACAAAAAGAATTAAAAACTTAGAAAGTCTTTCCTAATAAACTCTTAGTCATGAAACTTATCGTTATACTTTAACCAGAACTCCGGTGGCTTACATGACCCAAGTAAGGACAGAGACGGGAATCAAACCGGCACCCGTTATGGCTTCATTCTCATCTAGAGGTCCCAATTCAATCGAGGAGTCAATACTCAAGGTTTCCATGTTTGCTCTCTTTTTCGTTTACTCTGTGTTTCTACTTTAGAATATTCAATGTTCAACTCGAAATATTAAGTGTGTGTATTTTTTTTCTTTTTGTTTACTTCTTCAGCCTGATATAACAGCACCTGGCGTCAATATAATTGCAGCCTATTCAGAAGATGCATCACCAAGTGGTTCACCATTTGATAACCGTCGAATTCCATTTAATGTAGTATCTGGCACTTCCATGTCATGTCCCCATATTTCTGGTATTGTTGCCCTTCTCAAGACCATTTATCCAAAATGGAGTCCTGCAGCTATCAAATCTGCAATCATGACCACAGGTACATTCAAATTATCAAATCGTTACGTAAATACTTGGTGCTAAGATCTTAAGGATTAGTTGTGTTTAAGTGTTTGATATAATTAAATTTAGCGTAACCAATTACAATTCCACCGTGATTCGAGAGGTTCTTTGTGCTCATTCCATTGTAATAACATTTCCTTCGCTTGTTCAGCTGAAACTAGAGCCAATGACTTACATCCAATACTAGATTCCACCAAGCTTGTAGCCAACCCATTGGCGTACGGTGCGGGACATGTCCATCCCAACCGAGCAGCAAATCCTGGGCTTGTATACGACCTTACCACCAATGACTATCTAAATTTCTTATGTGCTCGTGGCTACAACAAAACACAACTTAGTAAATTCTCCAATACGTCATTCGTTTGTTCAAAGTCATTCAAACTAACAGATTTTAACTACCCATCAATCTCGATACCCAAAATGAAATCAGAACCTGTGACAATCAAAAGAACAGTTAAGAATGTGGGAAGCCCAAGCACGTACGTAGCTCGGGTGAAGGTACCTCCAGGAGTTTTAGTTTCAGTTGAGCCAAGTACGTTGAAGTTTACTCGAACCGATGAAGAGAAGACTTTCAAAGTTGTATTCCGAAGTGTGACAAACACCAAGCATCGAGGCTATGTATTTGGGTCTTTGAAATGGTTAGATGGTAAGCATCATGTAAGAAGCTCAATTGTAGTGAATTTGGGATGATTTAGGAGAAGAAAAAACATGTGGTGGTGGTAGTTGAAAAAGTGTTTTCCTATCAAATACTATGGTTTCTAAGACATTATATGTATCTCTCTCTTTCCCTCTTTCACCTTAAACCGAAAGAAATGCAAATAATTGGATCGACTAGTTTTCTTGTTTGCTATAGCTTGAATCTGTGATTAACTTGAGATCGACACTATTTAATTGGATCAACTAAATTGTCTTATTTTCTATAGCTTGAATCCGTTATCAATATATTTGAGATAAATATTAAAATCAAATAAATAGTAACAATGAATCATGGGGTTGTTTTCGACCCATTTGAATCAATTTTAAATTTTAAGCACATATTTTTATTTTAATGTATCTAATATACATTAATTCAGTTAATATTGGACTTAAAATATAGTAAAGTTAATTTTAAAAATACTTTTATTAAAGTTTATTTTGTAGGGAGACTATAAATACCTGTATAATTAGAATTTTAAAGATCATGATGTATAAAAGAAATTGTGCTTTCAACTTGGAACTTTTACTCTTACAAATTTGAGCATCATTTTTGTTATTTGTGCACTTTTTGTAGTAGATTGTATTTGAATTGTTCAATAAGTTTGGATCAAGTTTGATGATGGAGTGACTCAATTTAGGATAAAGTTCTAGATCTATATCTAAAAACTTATTTTGAAAAGGATTTTGTTGAGAAATTGTGCATCCTGGAAGAAGGGGTAGAAGTAGAAGATGGTAAAGATGATGAGGTCGAGTCATTGGAGAAGTTGTTATTATGGGTGGATCGAACACTACATATGCATAATTATTGATGAGAAATTCGAGGTTTCAACCATGATATAGAAGAAGAAATTTTGAAAATTTGAGAGGCAAATTAGGTGGGACTTGGTTCAAAATGCTATATACAAAAGCTATTAAATTTTACATTTACTTACGTGGTCCGAAATTAAATATTTCTAACATTTTTAGATATATTTTTCTTAGAAAATTTGTAAATATGTTTGAAAATCGGTTAAATAGTGAATGATTCCCACACATGAAATTTTAAAAATAAAAAGAAAATAAAATAATTATAATAGTTAAGATCAAAATATAATTAATAAATTACAAAATAAGCTTTTTTTTTTTTTTTTTAATAACTCTTTAACTTATTTTCTTTTTTCAATTATATTATTTTATAATATATCTCATTTAATATAATTTATTCTACCATATACGTCTTTCATTTTCGACATAAATTCATTTATTTAAAATTAAATGTTAAGATCTATTACCAATTAAATTGAAAATCCTAAAATTTAAGGTACATGAACAAAAATTAAATTAAATTTTAATGAATTAAAATTATTTTAATAATATGACTTAAAAAAATAAAACAGTCAATCAATTAATTATTTAAAATTAAATAATATGATAAAATAGTTGAAAACAGTTTATTTATATGAAATTTAGATAATATTTCTTGTGCAAAATCAATCACGATTCATTTTTTACTAGACATCATAAACAAAATTTTAAACGGCCAAAGGGAGAAAGGTAAAATAATAATTAATAATAATTAGAGGTAAGAATAAATATGGTAATTTTACAAATTCATAAATAAATCTAAAAAAATTATATTTTTAACGGAAATTAAATAGCTTAAAAGGGAAATTTTAAATTACAATGTTTATGGTCATGAATTGGGAATCCTAAATTACCAAAAAATGTTAAAAAAAATTAATAAATTATTAATGACTTTTTATTTGTCTATGATTTAAAAAATATATATATTATTATTTATAAAATATTTGATAATCACAGTTTTAAATATCTCTCAATTTTTATAAATTTTATGTTAAAGTATTAATTTTTAATTGATTAGTTGAAAATAAAGTATATTATGTAGGTAAGAAAAAATAAATCTTATGAACTAAACAAATGAAAATGATATTGTCAAAGCTTATATAGAAAAAAGAAAAAAAAATGTTATTTTAGGTTATGAAATATATTTCTTCTTTTATTATTTTAATTCAAATAAAATAAAAATGAAATTAATAATAAAATCAGATTATGAAATGTATTTTTCACATTATTATTCTAAAATTTCAATCTTTAATTAATTAATTGAAAATAAATAAATTTGTGGAGTTGTAACGACCTACATTTCTCTATTTAACTATTTCGTAAGGTAATTACTATACATTTAATCTTATATTTAATGTGGAGTTGTATATTATTAATGCAAATACCATTCAATCTATCCTAATCTATGCATATGCTACATCATGGGATTTGTGATGCTTCCACACCCGTCCGCCTCATAAGGGCGCCTTGCCTTTATCCTAACAAAATGTAATAGCAGGAGGCTTGAGTATTTTAAGAATGCTCAGTAAATGACCCTACTATTGGGGTTAAATGTAAGAACATGCGAATGCAATGATGGGATCTATCATAACATTTTATTTTCCTACCGTACTCTCCTAACGGGCAGCTTGGATGTGTACTATATACTCTACACACAACCCATACGTGCGAGTATGGACTCACCAGTAGCTCGCACATTGCTGGCCCCTTTCCTTGTCCAGCGAGCATATTCTGGGAGCTCCTTATGCCGGACACCCATAGAAGTAGTAGCTGTCATGACAACATTAGGTTAAATATTATGATCGTTTTCTTGTATGACCGTCACAGCATTATGATAAATATAATGATCGATTTTCTACTTGATCATGGCAACATTATGATAACCATAATGATCGTTTTCCTGCCTCGTAACGTATAGGTTCGTACTATCGTGAAGGATGAGTGGTCCATAGAGAGAAGTGGGGAATGATTTTTTTTTTTAATCTTCTTTTTTTTTAATTTTTTTTTTATTATTTTCTCTCATAGGTCAGCACTTCGTATTTAAACAAGTAAGACATGACAGTATTTTAAATATTTTAAATATTTTTGACATTTATACTAGAGATGATGTTTCCTTTCCAGAGCTATATTTCCGCATAGATGATGAGCATGCTAAGTTAGTAGCGACTCTAGGTAGGTAGAACTTTAGGGTCGTTACAAGGTGTATCCCCTTAGCACAATAATGCATAAGGCCCTAACATTTTTTCATTTTCATTTTCATTATCATTACAACCCACTAGCGCTCTATACCTATCATATTTGTAACGTTTAATATATATATATATAAATATAAAAATAACAAAATAAGGAAGAAACAAAAAATAAATAAATAAATAACCTACCACCTATCCTTTGATCTCTCTGTGCCTTCCCGAAAATACCTCTCTTATTAGGTATGGATAATTCAACAAACAAATAGAAACAGTTATGGGGAAGGAAAACATACAATGGAGAGATGGTTAGACAAAAATGAAGAGATCCAGAATAAAGGTGATGGAGAGATGGTTAGGCAGATAATGTAAGACAGATGTCTGTGAAAAGGTTAATAGTTCCTTATTATCAAAGGATGTTAATTTGTTGCAATTATAAGATTTGAGTTAGAAATTATCTGCTGCAGTTATTAATTTGTTGCAATTAGCAGTTATTTAGATCTGAGTAATTATCAAGTACTAACAAAAAAGAGTCCATTAAAATTGGTCAGAATACTCTCACAAAAATCTAAAGAAAAAATAAAAAAGAGAGGAAGATATAGAAAAGGAATATGTGGAAAACATATTCAAATAATAAATTTTTTAATTTTTTTTTTTTGGAAAACTCAACGAGAGGAGAAAAAAAAAAGAAATACAAAGAAAAGAGAAAAAGATGGGGAAACCAAATCATCCAAGATTTGAAAGCATAACAAAAATTGAAAGCATAACAAAAGAGGGAAAAAAAAAGCAAGGAAGAGAAAGAAATGAAGAGATTTTCAAATCAAGAAAAGAGAGCAAAGATTAGATTTGGAAATAATAAAACCAAAAAATTTGGTAATAGAATTAAATTGCACATAGAGAAGAATTAGACATGAGAGTAAGAATTAAACTGATTTAAAGAATTAGATATGAGAATAGAATTAAACGGATAAAAGAATCAGATATGAAGTAAATTGAATGCCTTAAAAGAATTCGAATTTAAAAAAAGAAAAAAAAAAAAACAAGAAGAAGATTTTAAGAAAGAAAAGAAAATTAGAATCAATTGAAAATAGTTCCCTTAATTGCATAAGCATGGAAAAGAAAATTAGATTTGATTAAAAATGGCAACACAAATTTAAAAGTTGAATTATACAACCGCTTCAAATATTAATAATATTGACATATTTTTAATTTAAGTTTTATTACCCTATGCAATTTAGAAATATTGAAAACATAGAATTCGATTTTTATTGAGCCGTTTAGAGTCGTATTTCACATTGTTAGTTGGATTATTAATCAAAATGTGAAATACTAATAAAAGGTGACGAACGGTGCGATAAGAAACAAACTTTGGCAACATTTGGAGTAGTTCTTGAGGAACGGGAGCTTACGTTAATTAAATGAGGGAATACTCCGACTAAGGACAACCAAGTAAGTGACGTTACTATAGGATATGCTAAAAATTGTATGAGTTATAATGACATATGAGTTGTATTGTATGATGTCGTATGAGTATATGATAATGTATGAGTATATGATGATGTATGAGTTATGATGCTGTATGAGTTATGATGCTTGATGATGTGCCTAGTATATATATTTTGATGAATCATGTGACGTAGATGTAAAATTGAAGATGTTAAATGCAAAAAGCTGATTGAAATACTATATTTCAACAAAGGATATATATCCATCGTAGAACCTAAACCTCTCAAGTCAAGCAATGAAACAGCAAGGGACGATGGTGGGCATGGAACACACACCTTATCCACAGCTTGAGGCAATTTCGTTAAAGGAGTAAGCATTTATGGTTATGGCACTGCAAAAGGGGGTTCCCCTAAAGCCTTTGTTGCCGCCTATCGAGTATGTTAACCTCAAACGTTGGATGGTGCGTGTTTTATCGCCACTATGGTAGCTGGCTTTGAAGCTGCCATTAGTGACGGAGTTGATGTTC